CCCCCCCCCCCCCCCCCCCCGGTCACTGACTCAAGAGGCACCAGTTGCACATAAGCAGATGCAAACTACTATCCTTATCACCAGATCTTTGATCAGGTTATTTACATAATGCATATAACATAATAAAAGTGGGTAGAAGGAACAAGACAGAAAAATATTTTAGACTATTGTTGTGTATGGAACTTGATCTTTGGAGGACTACTTGCAAATGAAACCAAAGCTTGTTGATTTGCTTTCCTTTCTTACCTTCTCCTGCCTCAACACTTACCAGAATTATTTTAGCTTTTCATTTTTTATGGAAAAAAGTAAACTGAAAGCTTTCCACAATAAAGTTCTTCCTCATCTTCAACCTAAATTTTCCCTATCACAGCTTGAGGCCATTGCTCTTAGTCCTGTTCCCTATAGTCACAAAAAAAGCCCATCTCCATTCTGTCTGTAATCACTCTTCAGGTATTTGAAGACTGTTATCAAACCAAGGGTATACTCCCTCAGTCTTCTCTTCTCCAGATTAAAGAGCCCTAGTTCTTTCAGTCTTTCCCCATAAATTCTGCCTTCCAGGTCCCTAATCATTTTGTTGCTCTACACTGGACTCTTTACACATCTTTCTTGAAGTGTGGGGCCCAGAGGTGAGGCCTCACCAGTGCTGAACAGAGTGGAAGAATCATCTCCCTTGATTAGCCAGTAACACGTCTGTTAATACAGCCTAGTATACTGTTGGCTTTTTTGGCAACAAGAGCATACTGTTGACTCATATTCAGCTTATGGCCCACTCTGCCCCCAAATTGCTCTCTGCAGTACTGCAGCCTAGCCCATCATTCCCAAAACTATATTTGTACATGCAATTATTCCATCCCAAGTGCAAAACTTTGCACTTGTCCTTGCTGTATCTCATCTGATTGTGGACCATTTCTCCAGGCTATCCCTGCCTTAGAGCATCTGCAAAACCAGACAGCGTGTGCACTCAATATCATCTATCAAATCACTAATGAAGATATTAAACAATGGACCCAGGACAGACTCCTGGAGAACCGCACTTGATACCTCCTTCCAACTAGACATTGAGCCATTGATGACTACTCATTGAGGTTGATGATACAACCAGTTACATATTCACATCACAGTACTTTTGTCTAGTAGGTATTTCCCTAGCTAATAAAAGGAAAATATCATGAGAAACAGTGTCAAAAGTCTTGCTATAGTCAAGACAAGGGTCTTTGGGTAAATCTGATATCTTTTATTAGACCAGCTAAAATAGTTGGAAATTTTCTTCTTTGCAGACTTTCAAAGAAGAATTTTTCCAACTATTTGGGTTGGTCTAATAAAAGATATCAGATATACTCAAAGAACCTTGTCTGCCTACATCCTTAGACCAATACGGCTACAACCAACACCCTTGCTACAGTCAAGGTATATCACATCAACTGCTCTCCCCCCATCCACAGAGCCTGTCACCTTATAGAAGGAAATCAGGTTGATCAGGCATGACTTGCTCATGGTGAATCCATGCTGTCTGTTTCTCATCACTTTGTACTCTTCTAGATGCTTCAGAATAGATTCCTTAAAGACTTGCTCCATGATCTTTCCAAGTATAGAAGTCAGGCTGCGTGGTCTGTAGTTTCCTAGATCCTCCTTTTCCCTTTCATAAAGATGAGCACAATATTTGCCCTTTTCCAGTCATGCAGGACCTCACCAACTTGTACAAGTTCTCAAAGAGGATACCCAATGGCTATGAAATTACCTCAGCCAATTCCTTCAGCACCCTTGGGGACATTCTGTCTGGCCCTGCTGACTTGAAAACATCTAGCATCCCTAAGTAATCCCTAATCTGTTCTGCCATTGCTCTAAACTGATTGTCTCCTTCCCTAATTTTGCTGCCAATTGCACTTATCATCAGGTACATACTTTGAGAAGACTGATGTATAAAAGGTATTAAATACTTTGGCTTTTTTTGCTGCCTTCCACATTCTGTAGGAGACCTATTGTTTTTCTGGTCTTCCTCTTGACATACTTGTAGAATACCTACAAGTATTGCCTTTTATGTCCGTTGCCAGCTGCTTCTCAAATTGTGCCTTGGCTGTCCTAATTTTCTCCCTGCACATTGATATGATATTCTTCTACTCTTCCCTTGTAATATGATCTAGTTTCCACTTTTTGTTCATTTCTTTTTTGAGTTCCAACTCATTGAAGAGATTGCTGTCTAGCCTGGCTGGTCTCCTACTGCACTTTTCATTCTTCCATCACATCAGGATAGGTTTCTCCTGTGCCCATAAGAGGGCCTCCTTAAAGTACAGCCAGCTCTCCTGGACGTCTTTTCCCCTCTGTGGCATCTCTAGTGGATGTTGTGAGTACCACCACCCCCTTCATCAGGATCTCCCTACTTTCCTGCCACAAGTTGGTACCTGAAGAGAAGGTGGGGGTTCAGTGGGGTTCTTCTTCCCCTATCGACCCGAAGACGGGGTACTCACAGGAGTGCCATGGTGTTCCTCAGGGCTCCGCCTCCCCTACACCCCGTCCACTCTCCAACCGCTCAGGTGTTCCGCTCATTGCTCCACCAATCTCTGTACGCCCCTTTACTATGGGGTCTGGCATCAGCTTCAGCAAACCGGCCGGTCGCCTGGATGTTAATGCCTCTGGAGCCTCAGTCCCTGATCTCAAAGGGCCAAGCCCCAGGCATTTAGCGTCCTCTCCCCTCTGAGAGAGAGACACTTCTATAAGCTTCAGAATTGGGGGGTGGGGGATTGTCTGTCCCCAGCCTAATGCCTGACACTGCTCCCCCTCCTTTGATGTGGGGCATTGTCTTCAGGGCCTTCACTACCAGCCTCCAGAGTCACCGCCTGCAAGGCATGCTTCCAGCTGGCTTTCTCTCCCCTCTCTCTGCCAGCTTCTGGCAGGGTTTTTAAATTCCCTGCGGTGGCAGCGTGAGCTGCTGCAATTAGCTAGCCACCGCCCTGCCCAGGAAGTAGCCACTTGAACAGCCAGCACAACACTGGGTTGCATGGCTCCTGCTCCGCTCCCACTCATCTTGGTGGTAAGTTTGCTGGGGTACGGAGGGCTTGCTCACTCCCCCCGGGAACACCCGGGTCTGCCCCAGACCTCCTTGGTACCTGTTGTGGCTTCTCGCTGCCACACCCTCAGACTAGCCACCTAGGGATCCTGCCCACCAGTTCCCTTAATTTACTAAAGTCTGTTTTCTGACGTCCAGTATCTTTATCCTGCTGCTCTCCTTCCTTCCTCCCCTTAAGATCTTGAGCTCTATCATTTTGCAGTCACTGGCCTCACCTACATGAGACACTTCCTGCTCAGTAGCCTGAGACTACTGTGCAGTAACATCATGTGGCAGCAACTGTGAGTTCTATCAAGCCAAGAAAGTTCCTGTTATGTTGTGAGCCAAACTTCATTGCCTCCCCCTCCCCTAAAAGCTAATCCACATTCTGCTAACATGCACACAACTGCAATAACACATTCAAGTACATGCTTCCAGTACTCTTGCTCCTTTTTCATCAGTTCCTCCACGTGTGAATCCAAGGTTAACCCACATTGCCCCATCAAATATGTAAGCAAAGCTGTTCTATGATCCCCAGAGTTCTCATGATTTTGAATTCCGACAGGGTTTCGCCAGTCATTAAACCCATCACTAGATGGTGCTGTCGATGATGTTGAGAAGAGCTTGCAGACAAAACAGTAAACACAACCAGTTGTTTGGAGAGTATAACAGCCACTCCTGATTGTATTTTTCACCATTAACTTTTGTTGAATGAAATAGACCATTTGAACAATATCTAATTTGGTTTTTGAATGACCGCTTTGATTTGTCAAATGGGCTGTTCCAATGTCGACACTCTGAGGAACTTTTCTGTATCCAGAATGAAATATCATCCTCAGTCAAGACACCCCAGAGACCAAGATCATTGGACTTCGTGTATCTACTTTTTTCAGCTGGGATTTCAGACTCTGTAACATTCTCAGGTGAAGTAGTCACATTCACATCTGTATAATCTATCCTAGTAGAAAAGGTGGATGCCTGTGGTTGCTGTGGTCCTGGATGACTCTCTTGAGTATGAGATTCTTCCTTTATTACAGTGAAATAACTATCAACTTTCGGTAATTGTTTTAGCTGCCCTTCAATAAGCTGCTTCTTTTTTCCCTTCTGACATCCACTTTCAACAGCCCTCTTCATTTTTAACAACCGATTATGTAAAACTTGAAACTTCATATTACAGTATAACCTCAAGAATCTGGCGCTTCCCCCACTGCTTCAGGACCAGCTGCCGCTCCCCACCACCAGCCCGGAAGTGGTGGGGGAAGCTTGCATGCGGCTGCTGCCACCTCCATTAAGCACCCTGCACCACTGCTCTGCATGTGGCTAGTGCTTCGGGACCAGCAGCTGCTATCCCACAACCATTCCCAGCTCCATGACCAGCTGCAGTGCCGGTTTAAAAAAACTAGAATTTTCAAATTTCCGGCATGTGCTTGGTCCCAAGCATGCCAGATTTGTGAGGTTTTACTGTATTTTCTTTTCGTATTTAGAGGCCCCTCATCATGTGAGGTCCTAAACTGTAGCTTACTTAGCTTGTGCCTAAATCCCAGCCTGAGCTCTGCAGTCATGGGGCCAGTGCTAAGAGATCCTTATCTCCTACCTCGAGCCCTGCAGTTGTGGGGCTGGTGCTGAGAGATTCTTTTCACCCAGCATCAGCTCTGCGGACATAAGGCCGGCACTGGGAGATCCTTATCTCCCAACCCTGGCCCTGCGATCACATATCAGGGGCTGGCAGCTCCCTGCTGATGGAACAGGAGGACATCGTCCCCACAATGTCCTCCTATCACAGCAACAATGTCCCAGCCCCCACCAGGAGATGGCTGTCTCCTGGCCCCCTGCTCCCTGCCAACCCCTGGGCTAAGACCCAGGGGGACCCTAGAACTCCCCCTGGCTGCTGTAGGCTCCTGGTGCAGAGCCACAGGGAGCAAGAGCAATCTGCTGCTAGCAGCAGCAAATCTGCTCCTGCATCCTGCATGTGTAGATGTGTGCCTGGGAGAGTTTACTCTAGAGTACTTTAGAGTAAACTGCTCCCAGATTATTTGCACATGTAGATGCACCCAGTCTGTGGTAAAGCATCAGATTATGACCAAAACTTTGTTAATCATTTTGAGGCTAGCCTCTCTCTCTACATGCTTTCTCTAAGTTGACTGTTCCCTTACTCAGGAGGGTACAGTGCACATTTGCCTTCTGAAACCAGGGTTTCTACTGTATTAGTTACTGGCCAGTAGGAATTGTGGGAGAACATTGTTGTCAGCACATCAGCCCTTAATCTCCTTCACTAAACTACTGAACAATACTTTGCATCATTTCTGTTCTTTACTGGGTTTGGGTTTTAAAGTCTTAAAGTGTTCAGATATATCTGGGGTTTGACTTGCCTATGATAGCCCTTAAACAAGACTAGGATATGCATGTTAATTTGTGCAGTATAGGTGTGTATATGATCTTATTTATGTTTAGAATAATAATATACTCTTTACTTGCATTCATTTTAGAGTGTTTAGTGTGTCCCAGAGTATTCCTGTATTAAAGATATATGAAAGTTGCAATACATAAGCACTCTTCTGTTGTATCATTAGCATTGGCTAATGCCATGGAAAATATGATAATTTTGTTATATTTCTGTATTGTATTAGTGAAAATTTATATTGATGCAAGGTATAATTGAAAGTTGCCTTGTAAGTAAAATGTTGCTAATAGGCTATGATGGACTGCCTACAGATGAGTTTATGAATGTTACTGTCTCTTTTGCATTATCATTTGTATTTATGATTGCTCAGCAGCAGTATGATATCATTAAAAACATAATTTAGGTCAGCAGTTGATGTGGTAATGAATGAGACCATACTGCAAGGCAAGAAAAAAAGAAGACCAAGATTTTAAAAAATCATTTCCCAAAATTAGGGCCTTTAAAGGGAGCTATTGAGTCTCAGCTTTTGAAAATTAGGTAATTGATTTAGCCATGTAAATGCAGATTTAAGTGTGATAATGACAAATCCCCAGAAGTTTCTAGTATAGTCAGCAAGAGTGCATGGGTGCTCTGAGCTTTGAAAAGCCAAATATTAAGAACCCATTAAAAAAACAAACTTAGCCACAGGGCCTTGTAACAGCCTTGTAGCAGGGCTCTCTGTTACTTGAAGATAGAGGCAGCCCAGCCAGGGAATATGGCAGGGCAGGCAGGGCACCACAGCTGCCAGTGGCCAGGGCAAAGGAGGCAGGCAGCAGACACCTGCAAGTGGTCAGCTGACTGGATGTAGGCAGGGCCCTGGCAGCATATAAGCCCAAGGCTGGGGCTGAAAGGGGAGTCTCTCCCTGGCTGTCACAAGGAAAGGAGCTCCTGTCCAGGGGAGCCAGCCAGGGATGCTGAACTGACCATTTTACTGCCTACAGCAACAGGGAGGTTCAGGGAACTTGTGAAGTACTCTGGCTAGGAGGTAGACTATATTAAGGGTAAAGGTTTGTCCTCTTAAAGCTGCTACTTTGTTGTTTATGTTATAGCCCAGGGGCTTATGATTTATGTTACTGTTTCTTGGTATGAGTGGTTTGGGATGAGACTGGAAGGGGAGCTTCATTAGTGCCCAGGGGGCACTCAGCTGCCCTGAGGGGCAGGCACAACCACACAGGGGCCTGGGGCCCAGCAGGCAGGGGCCAGGGGCCTGGTGACAGAAGGGACAAACAGAGCTAGAGCCTCAAAGTAATTCAGTGGGCCCAGGCTAGAAGGCTTAGTGAGATTAAAGGGACAGAGGCTGAGGAGGCTGAAGCCTCACATGTGGAATAACATCTTTGTAACACCCTCGAGGCATGGGGTGTGGTAAAGGAGAGGATTTGGAGCCATGCAAATTAGCCTTTAAAGCTTTGGGTGCCCTGCCGGATACAGCAGATTGAAGTAAAACTTGGCAAGGGCCTGGGCACAAGCAGAGACTGTCAGAGTCCAGTGGGACTGAGGCCTAGCAAAGGCCTGTGGGCAGCCTCCCTATATATTACAAATAATGCCAAGGTACCCTAAGGGTGGAGCAGGGCATGGTTGCAGGGCCACCAGGGGGTGTCATGGCCACTTCTGGAACCCTAATGTGTTACAGGCCTGAAAAATTAGAAGTTCTTATGGAAGTATTTAACAGTGACAACATTGACACATCCAGCCACCTTACTGTGCCCATAAATCAGAGATAGATATGCAGATATTATCACTAGTTCTTCTAGTTGATTTCTGGGTAGAAAAGTGGAGGAACAGTTGAGACCCTCTTAAAAATCAGGTCTATAAAGTGCACCAAGGAGAACCTATAAGATGCGCTAAGCTACTAGGATCATCCTGCCTACAGCTTAATGTGTGGTGCTTCCATTGCTGGTATATTTGACAATCTTTACAGTTTATTCCTGAAAATTAGTGGCGACACAAAGGGGGTGTACGCAGGTGCACGTACACCCCCTGAGCAGGGTGGTGAACCCCTTACGAAAAGGCACCACTGACACTGTCAGCAGTGCCAACAGGTGGTCGCCAACCCCTGGTTGGTGCTCACCACCCCGCCTCCCCCAGTGCCGCCAACAGTACCGTCAGCATCTCCCCACTTACCACCGCCGCGCTTCCACCACTAGCATTGCCATGCCCGCCCCAGCTGCTGGGGGCATGCATCATTCATGCTGAAAATTATATTTTGACCACAGAGCACAGGGTTCAACTTGTGCAATTTGGACTGGGGAATGAAGATGAATCTCTTCTCCAACTGTAAATCATTTAAAAATATCTGCCATTGGTGCATTTTGGGCCTTTGGAACGTAAAAAGGTTTGGTCTTCAGCATTATTTTCATAAGGGATAAGTTATCTTAGACAAAGATCATTTAATATGCGCTCCATTATAAGCCAGGGAAATCTTCCCAAGCAATTTATCAGTGTAGAGTTGACATTGTTTTGGGAAAGCGTT